GTTGTTGCAGGAATCTTGTTTAGAATCAAAAAATACCTCTTTGTCAATAACTAGGTCAAATGAAATTCAAAAAAATATTGTTATGTATAGTGATGAAATGGGTAAAAATATAGGTTTGCAACTTAACCACCTAGGAATAAAATTAACAAATATTTGCATGCCAGGTGCAACATACTGTAAAATATTAGATAGTATTTTGTCAACTAAATTCGACAAAGACACCTCATTAATAATTTTAATTGGCAGAAGAGGAAAATGTAACAAAAAAGATTTAATACAGTATTTTTCACAATTAAATAATTTAATTAATATAAAAGAAATTATTTTGTTAGCTTTTCCCTTCAGCAATAGCCTCACACCAAGTGAAAATAATTTGAGGCATAACTTAAATAGAACTTTACACAGCTTGACATTTCATTATAGTAAATTTCATTTTATGGATACTAATAATTTTATTAGTAAATATTTTTATTTGACTAAAGATAGGTATTATCTTACTAGTTATTTTAGGAGACAGATAGCAGAGTTGCTATCATATTATATTAATAATTCAGCCAAATCCTTGGCTACCAGACCGGCTGCTTCTATTGAGCAGTCCGTTGACATAGGTCAGTTTACTGACAATAATCATTCTGTTTATAATTCTACTTCTAATTATTTAAATTAATTAATAAGACAACGGAGAGATACTCTTGCAACACAATGACAATAAAAAACCAACCTAAAACACACAGAAATAAAATAAATTGTATATTAAACCTGGTGCATCAAAATATTCAAGGCATGAAAGGCAAAGAGTTAGAAATATAATTATTTATTAACTGTAATAATATTGATATTCTGTGTATTACTGAACACCACTTTCTATCAAAACATCAGTTCATGTTTAGCTTCAACAATCACCAGGTGGCTAGTTCGTTCAGCAGAGAAAAAGCTATTCATGGCGGCTCTTTGATTCTTATTAAAAATAATTTAAAATTTAAAGAACGTACAGATATTGTGAGCCTATCTATTGAGCGGACTATAGAGATATCCTGCATAGAGCTTGAACGGCTTGTTATATTAAGCGTGTACAGACCCCCTCATTCATCTTACGAACTATTTGAAAAAAGATTAGAAGAAGTTTTAGGCAAATTAAATAATCCAAATAAATATATTGCTGTTTGTGGTGACTTCAATGTTAACTTATTAGAAGATTCCAGTGCTAGCAGTAGGCTCATATCATTTTTCCAATGTTATAATGTTGTGAATCTTTTCTTGGTGCCTACTAGAATAACTTCTACTACTGCCACTTGTTTAGACAATATTTATACTAACGCCGTACCTAGTAATAAATCTATTATAAATAAATTAACTTCTGATCACTGCGGTCAATTGGCCACTTTTAATATAACTGTTGACAAAATGCCAAAAAAGGATATCACATGTGTTCCGATAAATAATGGTCGACTTAAAGCTTATAGAAATAATGTAATGCTTAAACTAACTGAACTTCCGTACGTTAACGATCCCAATAAATTGTATAATTCAGTTTTCAACATAGTCAAAAGTGAACGTGATAACGTTTTTAGGTCCAAAATCATAACTATTAATAATTCATTGAAATTTAGTGATTGGGCGACTGTGGGAATTCACAAAAGTAGACAAAGACTATATGATCTTTACGATGAAAGGACTTATAACACTAGTAACAGTTTTAATGATTTTGTTAGGAAATATTCGAAAATGTTTAAACGTGTTTGTGTTGCAGCCAAAGCAATGTTTATAAATAATAAAATAAAAAGCAGCGCGAATGTAGTAAAAACGACTTGGAATATTATAAACAGCGAAACTGGAAGGGTCAAACCTCGTAACTTAGATTTTCAACTAAGATTTAATGACAAAATTGTAAACACAGACGCAGAAGTTGCTAAAATATTTGAAAATTTTTTTACTGACATTCCAATTTTGACTACTAAGTCGTTAAATTCATCTCCCACCGCCGCTGAATCCTTACTAAAAGAAAATAATGCGGTTAGTATCACTAATTTGAGGTTCCGTCATGTATTTCCAAACGATATTGTTAAAGCCTTTAAGTCTATAAACATAAAAAATACAGCTGATCTTGATGGTCTTTCAGTCAGAGTAATTAGTTCTGTAGTTGATTGTATTGCGCCTTATTTGGCCTGTGTCTTTAATAAATGTGTTAATGATGGTGTCTTTCCTGACCTCATGAAGCAAAGTAAAGTTATTCCACTTTTCAAATCTGGTAGTATTTCTGACCCCACCAATTTCAGACCTATATCAATACTACCAACTCTCAGTAAAATATTTGAAAAAATTATTCTAAATCAGATGTGTGCACATTTTTGTAGTAATAACTTAATGTCTCCTAAACAATTTGGTTTCACTCGGGGTCGCTCTACAACCGATGCTGGTGTCGAGGTGATTAATCATATATTTGATGCATGGGAAGTCTCACATGATGCTATTGGTGTATTCTGTGACCTTTCCAAAGCTTTTGATTGTGTGCACCATGATACACTGGTCAGGAAACTTCGCCATTATGGTGTGGCGGGACGTGATCTCGACCTTCTTAAATCGTATTTGCGTGGTAGGGTACAGAGGGTCGATGTTAACGGTACGAGATCGTCAGGATCTGCAATTAGCATGGGTGTCCCTCAAGGTTCAATTCTAGGCCCATTTTTATTTTTAGTTTATATTAATGACTTACCTAGCCTTATGGAGAATATAAAACATGAGATAGTATTGTTTGCTGATGATACTTCCTTATTATTTAAAGTTAAAAGGCACCAATGTTCCTATGACGATGTGAACAATGCTATATCTAAAGTAGTTGATTGGTTTGCTGTTAATAACCTACTTCTTAATGAGAAAAAAACAAATTGTGTGAAATTTACATTACCCAATGTTAGAGAGACGGTTACAAACATTGTAGTTAGAAACGAAAAATTGAATCTTGTGGATACAGTTGTATTTCTAGGTATAACGTTAGATGCTAAATTGCAATGGGGTCCCCATATAAGTAAGTTGTCAAAACGGCTCGGCTCTGCAGTGTACGCGATTAAAAAAATAAGGAAACTTTCAGACGTCGAAACCGCTAGATTACTTCAGTTACTTTCACAGTCTAATGACATACGGCATTTTGCTTTGGGGTAATGCCGCCGATATCAATAGAATCTTTGTCCTGCAGAAACGTGCAGTTAGGGCAATTTACAATCTGGGCCCCAAAGTATCTTTGAGAGATAAGTTTAAGGAAATTAACATTCTTACACTAGCCTCACAGTACATTTATGAAAATGTAATTTATGTTAAAAGGAATAGTAATTTATTTATGAAAAATAGTGACAGACATAACATTAATACGAGGAATAGAAATAAACTAGCTTTTCTTGATAGTCGTCTTCACAAAGTCAAAAAATCATTTAAGGGGCAATGTATACGCTTCTATAACAAGATTCCGGTTGATATACAAAATTTGCCGTTCACGAGGTTTAAAACTATAGTGAAACAAAAACTTTATACTAAAGGTTATTATACAACTTCTGCGTACTTGGATGACAAAAATCCGTGGTAGTAACCCGTTTAGCTCATGGAGGTAGTCTCGATCTCTGATGTTTCAAATAAAAAAAAAATATTGTAAATGCTATTTACAAAGAGCAACCCCTAGAGTTTCTTGCTCATTCTTCTCGGGGGAATCTGCCTTACGAATGAGCGGTAGAGTTTAACAATTGTGACGATTTCAAGTGTAATAATGCTTACCTATGAAATAAAGATTATTTTGAGTTTGAGTTTGAGTAACCTTGTGTAAAATTCCTAGTCTTCTAGTCAAATCAAGGAGTACAAAACACATTCGTACATTCATAATTTACGGTATTATTTTACTATTATTAATATGTCACGGCTTCTTATAATCAATTAATACAGAAAAATCATTATTCTAATATCGTGCTGCGTCCGCGTCTTCGATTTATCAATCGTTTTAGTGCCGAAGGACGTTTCTCATCACTAAATAGCGCATGTGACATCATCTGAGGTACAAAAATGTGGTACACTTGGTTTTCATACAGATCGCGGTACTTGCGGTGTCTATTTAGATATATGTCTGTGGTCCCGATACTTGGTATCATAAAATAATAATAAATATATCGCAACAAATTCAGCGCTACAATCTAGTTTATATGACCAGAAGAAAGAAAGACGTATGAGAAAAACGTATTTTCCTATATACCCTTCTAGGAAAACACGTTTTTTAGAAACCTCTCAATACTTGCTTGGGTATTAAGAGTGTAATTACATTTAGTACATTTTGATGTACTTTGGGTATTTAGCATTGGGCGTTTGGTTTTAGGAAGATAAGGCGATATGTTTTACAAGTTTGCTCTGGTTCTTGTTTCTTGATACATTATACTCATCGAGTATATAACTAGAAATAGAGACGAAACGTCATTTAATTTGTTTGAAAACTATTCTGCCAAATCATTACTGTGACAACTGCGCTCCGATTGGCCAGCCCGAGTTCGAAACAATTGACGGGTGTCGTCCAATTGTTTCACTTCAAATCGACCAGTTTAACTTGAGTTTTGCTTTATAGTTGCGCCCCATAGTTAGAGATATTATCTTTATTAGAATAAATAAATACACACATGTCAGTTGTAGGCGCTGTACTATTTCAGTTTTGTAATTGGTGATTTCAGCGCAAACGAGAGTTGATATTTAAGTGATACAAGGCTCATTTGCCAGATGAGTTGTCAGGAACGGATGGCCCTTATTTCGTCTCTATTTCTGATTATATACTCGACGATTATACTTGACATGTTGCATTTGTTGCATGTTCTCTAGCTTTATTTAAGCTAGAGGGGCGAAAAATGTCCAGTGGTGACAATATTTTCCTTTATGGAGTCTTGCGGCATGTATAGATTCTTTCAATCAATTTAGTACTTTCATTAATAGCAAATGGGTCTGGTAATATAGATTGGTTCAGTCTTAAAGTATAGTACCTTAAAGCCAGGCCAATAGGAGCAGGGCATTGAGCTTTGGCAGTAGCCGATGTAAGTCCGTATTCAGCCAAGGTCTTCTCGTCTTCCATAAGCTGGCTGTCTTTGTTGAACAGCATCTGGCTGGCTGGTGCTGCCTTCAATATACCTGACAAATTTAAAAGTAATATATATAAAAATCCTCCTACGCATGTAGCAGGTTTTTTTCGTATTTGTCCTGTAATTGTTGTGTGATTATAATTATAATAAAGCTTATACAGGGTGTAATCGTTAAGTGTGCCCAGGCAATTATTCCATAAATATAAGAGATATCAAAACGCTTTAAACTGATATCGGAAGTATGTTACCTAGTGAGTGTATGGACATCAGTTTTTTTTTTTAAATAAAACTAGAAATATCCAAAATTTTAACATTAAACGCTCCTGTGCATTTAATATGAAATTTATAAAGAGGCGTTAATTGACCTACTTTAAGAGGTAACAATAAGTTTGCAGATAACATA